ATAGTTGAGGTACACTCTCACGTTTTGACCAAAAATGAACATTTTCTGTTTTCCGCATAATACATGCAACACTGAGTAGACTATTTGAGGAACATCCTCTCTCTTCAAAATATTGAAGTTACGAGTTTTCCAGCTTACAGCCTCAAAAAAGAAAGTTTAGTTAGTGTAAATATGAGAAAAGTGTATGTCGCAGGAACAATACCAAACTCAGATTATCGATTCTCACTTATCTTGCGAGAATGTTGTTTTGAGTGATCTGAACATCTAGATAGAGCCGTGTGCGGATGCTACATAACGTTGACTCCATGTTTATTAATCGCTTCTAAATCCGTTGCTTATTAATCGCACCAGGTAACGAGGTTAAGATGCCTTTGTCGCAGACTCTTCTAAGGTCATAGGCTCACCGGTCGGGTTGCTTGTTGAATGAAGGAAAATCCCCGAGTTGGTTTCTGATGGGTTTTTTTTAGGCTCTGCTCTTTGTGCAAAAGTGTCAACTCTTCTCCTTTACTATTTTGTGTTGTTTCGGACAATTTATTTCAGTCTTTTTACACATAATATTAGACATCACTAGAGAAAATCTAGCAAAGCTTGGTGTATTTTAGTGTATTTTTCCATTTTTCACGTGGATATATTGGGATTTCTCTAAACACTGTTCATTCTTCATCTGAAATGATCTTTTTATCATACTTATATATTTTCCCGAAACAAAAACTCTTTTAACATTATGCCTGATTTCTTGGTAGACATTCTTTGTGATTGGTAAACCATTCCAGAGAACCGTTCGAGTTATGTATAGATAAACGTAAACTTTATTACTCATAAAAAACCCATAGAAACGAAAAAAGAAACGGAATTGTTAAACATAAAACCAGTAGAGAAACAAATTGTTCTTAGAACTAAACAACTTAAAACAAAACACACACCAAACTGAAGATTGTAAATTATGGACTTGGACAGTCGGCAATGCACATCTTCATCATGCTCTAAGAACAGGAGACTCTGTGAGAACAAGAGTCTTGTAGACATTATAAAACCCAGTCATATCTATCCAAGAGAGGATTTTAGCAACACAAGAACAAACATTACCAAAAGAATCATTGACTTTGCTGTGATTGACAATACCCTTCAAGACAGATTCTTTGATCCGACCCATCTGACCAAAGCATCGATAGTCCATTGCATGATCAGCAACATTGAAAACTGACACATCTTCTCCTTGTCTTGGAGCATAACCAGCTGTATCAAACAGTTCTTTCAAATGTCGATTAGAAAGATCTCCAAAGTTGGCTTCAGTAACATTCTTGTAAAGCATAATCACCAAGTAACCAAAGAAAGCGTTCGCCTTTTTCTCTGAATCACTAAACCGTTTGGTTCAGCACCTGAAGGGACTCTTACGATTCGAACTCTGTTACCTTTCTGACGAACACCTTCTTGTATATCATCTGTTACTTCAGGCATCAAGCAACAGATCCCTCCGATGTAATAAGTTGCTCTTTGTTCATCACACTTCAAGTCTTTGTGAGAATATGATCCAACTTGAAGAGCCATGTTGGAGTAAACGGGAATAAGAACAAAGAAAAGCATATTTTGTTGTGTCAAAGACACTAAAGGAACCAGAAGGTTTGACTAAAGACCAAGAACTAAAGACTCTACATATATCAGAAGGTTTCAAAGGTTTACTCTTATTGGCTAAACGTTAGTCAAGTTAGGGTTTCACCGACTCTGTTTTTGGGTATAAAAACAGAGGCTTGCTTCTTTGTTAATCTAAGCCGCTTTCGAG